CTTTGATATGATGATTTAATTTATTATCATAAAGACATAAATTAAAAATTTCAATCTTAAATATTGATATAAAATAGATGTTTAAAATATGATTTAAATATTTTATGATGTTCAAGATCCATAGTTGCCTCATTCTTGCTTTCATCATTTTCAAATGAATCATCATATTTATTATCATCCAATTTTGTCTCATTTGCAAGTTTAAAATATTCTTCATTCATTATTAACTTTTTCTCACTATCAATTAATCTTAAATTCAATAGAAATTAAAATAAAAGAACAAATTAAAAACATAATCAAGTATTCGTACTTAAATTATTTTTTTACATTTTTAGGCATTATATCACACAGAGTGAATACAATATAATATATATTATTAATATAATATAACATACTTTTTATATAACTTCATTGAGATATTGCCTCAAAAACCTAGAGATATAAAGCCTTGAGGCATAAATTTCAAGCAAAAAAGACGTACGCCCTCAAGGCTTTTTTTTGTACGCCTCAATTTGAGGCACACCTCGATGCGTAAGCCTCAAATGCCTTTTTAATCAAATTCTATCTTTTAAAAGCATTCCCTATATTGCTAAGAATAATAAGATCTGCATCAGTTCAACCTACCGCCTAAACTTTTAAAGCATTCCTTGTTTTGCTAAGAATTATAAGCCCCGCGTCCGTTCAATCTACCACCTAAAAATCTTGAAACTCTCAATTCTCTCTTTTTATTTGACAATCATGAGATTAACTCTAAATGATATATTACATGAGTGTTAAAAGAACATCCCGTAATCGAGTTGGGCTGAGTACTTTCAAGAATATATAATTTCAAGCTTGATATCCCACGAAGACATTCCATGAAATTCTAGCTAGGTTATTTCTATCATTTATTGGATTCCTTACCCTTACCAATCACCCATTGAGCCCATTGTATTTCTTTGTAAGTCTTTGATGATTCAATGATTATTATCACATAAATTTTATGTGGAAAGAAAATTATCTCATTTAATTATGGTGATTCATCATTTATCTTGTAAACTAACTTGTTTCAAAATATAAATTATCCCATAAAGCTGATATTTTTTTTTAATCGTAGAATTCATTGATGTTAACAAGGGCAAATCAAAATAAAAGCATGCCAACAATAAAAATCAAGAATATATATTGAAATTTTCATAGAGTATAACTAATCTTAGAGAGCCTAGTATTTTTGAGAGAGTGATAAATCTAAATTTTCTACTTGACTTTGATTGTAAAACTTCCCATAATTACTTAACATGAGTATAAGATATTGATTCTACTTCAATACACCACTTTTCCTTTTCTTGTAATATGGAATCTACTATACGAGAATAACAACCTTATACTATCATCGTTTTTCCCCTTAAACATACACATTATGCAATTCCTTTATTCTTAAACAATTTTCTAAACTTAACAATAAAGTTGTCCATGCACTGAGTAGAGCTCTTATCTGTGTTATGAATACAAAGAGCCCGGACTGAGAAAATAAGAAATTAGAGTCCATTAAGCCCCTATTATAATTTGATCAATCTTAATTTGAAAGATAATCAAATATTATTGACTTAATATTAAACAATGCATGATGGATTCCTCTTCAAAGGATTAAAACTATGCTTAGCCAATTATATAAAATATGTTAAAACCATCTCCACTTTAAGCCCTAGGCAATTCTAAGATTAAATCTATAAAAAAAGCTTTCCAAGGAAATTTAAGAAACAAATAAAAAGGTACCCTTCTAAATTAATGTTTTGTGATCGACCTTGTAAGCAAAACATTACGGAACCTCTCTCTCGACATCTCTTTTCATTGATAGCTAATAAAATAATTCTCTATGAAATTAATCAATTTTTCCTTCGCAAAATATCTAGCATACCAAAACACAATGTTGGTCCTTCCCAAAATATCTAGAATACCAAAACGCAATGTTGGTCCATCCCAAAATTTCTAGTAATACTAACAAAATGTAGTTAAGTAATAAAAAATTCTCTTAATAAGATCTAAAAATGTACGATTAAAAGATTTGCCTTTATGCTCATGATATATGATATGAAAACCATGACAAGTTAAAAGATATTTTTTTATTCAAAAATTTATAATTCCAGAGAGCACATATGCTGAATTGTTGTCAATCCAAGATGTATGTTTAAGCGAAAATAAAAAATTTTGCAAAAGCTCAAACTAATTTTATGTGATTATTATTAAACTCTCTATTTATGACGAAATTTAAAGCATAATGATAAAAATTAAAAATAAAAACTATCTATGCAATGCATAGCATATGTAATTTTTCAATGTTTGCATACCATGTATTCAACTCTCTTTTACATGTAGAAAATGTTAATTTTACATTTTTTAGTTTGTCACCAAAAAAAACTATAATAAAATTCTCTTCACGAAGTGCACCATCAATTTCATTCTCAGATGTACCATAAGAATTTAAAATCATCAAAATTTAAACAACCACTAAAAAACTAGATAGCCATCAAAACTTTCATAGCAGAATTTTTAAATACGGCCCTTTAAAAAGAAAGTTATAAAATGGAGTTCTATTTTGCAAAAATTTGAAAATAGACCAAATTACGTTTATGTGGCATGCTTTCGCGCCCACATAGTATAAAAATCATGCCATGAAGACGCATTATCAATATTTTTGTTTTTTAAAAGTTATTTAATTTTTTAAAGATTAAGTCTTAAAAATTATCATTTTATTTTGAAATATGAGTAACTAAATCAATATTAACGTTTTCTTTTTAATATATAGAGTTCGAATTTTTTAAAAGAATGCATATATTTTTTTCAGTTTACTTGACATATGAGAAAATAAGATCAAATGTTTAAATATGATTGAACAGTCAAGTTAATTTTTTTTTTATTTTAAAAATTATTTAATTAAACCAAAATGTGCAAATACTATGTTATTGAAGACATGGAATTTTGTTTTTATTAATTCAAGTTGTCTTTGCATAAAATGCTTATTTGAAAATACAGATTGAGGCGTGATTATTATATTTATTTATAACTAAAAATAGTAGTCTGTCATCAATGAATTGATGTTACAAATTATAAATTTTCTTATCATCATCTACTCTATCTCACAATATTACCAAATTCTAAATAAAAAAATTAATATTGTAAATATCAACACCAAGTTCAGAGAAATAAATTAAATAAATTAAAAAAAAAACTAGTTTGTGCCCCCACTTTGAAAATTTTCTAGCTTCGCCACTGATAGCCAACTCATCTCATTTTAACAAACTTCTCTCTTTAATAGTCATACGTTTGATATTAACTAAAATCATCAACTTAAATAAATTAAGTATCAAGCAAATCATCAAACGTTGAACCTTTACTTTTAATTTTACTGAAGGGACAATAAAATCATAATTATTTACAGCATGATTACTAGTGGTCTCCAAATCAGATTACTACAACTAGGATTTAAACTTAGTTTAGCATTTTTGAAGGCTTGTACAAGTTAAGTTGAGGTCAAGGGCTGGGTTTGAAACCTGGTAGTTAATTGTTGCGATTGATTTCTCATTCTTTCCATCAAGTTATCGATAAGTTGAATTTTAACATAAGTTAAACTTATTAGTGTTCCTCTATTTTATTATGGCCTTTAAAATGATCCATTGGAGAAAATTTCGGTGGCATTATGAACAAAAAATATGAAATGCAAAAAAGAATATTTTCTTTGAAATATTATACTGTAGTAGCAAAATGTATGATTATACAAGCTTGACGAATCAAAAAGTCATACAGTCAACCAATATGTTGTTGACAATAAATCAATTAAACAACAAGAAATATTACTTTCATGGCCTTATATATTTAAAACACAATTCAATAGGTTCCCAAGGACTTTTATCTGTGGAACGCATCACAATTTTAGGAATTCCCAGGCAAACCAAGATGAGAAGGTTTATGTTATGTTACCGGCTAGGTTTAAATGGTAGAGTCCTCTGCTTCTAGATTTATTGCAAATTTCATAGAATTGCTACATAAAATCAAAGAGTTTCATTGCTACATTAGAAAAATTATCAATGAAAGAAACTAGAACTTAGAAATAGAAAAGTTACCAAATTTTAGTGATCAAGCACCAACTGCAAATACCAACAGACGTTGTCTTGATTATTGTGGTTGCACAAGATGTGCGATAACTTTTCTCTGATACTAACAAATGATGGTGGTAGGTGGTAGGATAATTTAGAGGTGATTTGGAACTTGGAAATGTGGACTTGAGCTATTATTGGTGGAGTGGGGTGGCTTAATGGAAAGGCTAGGGATTATATGCACCTTGGGCAAAGAAAGGTGGCTAAGGTTGGGGTTGACAAGAGCATTGGATTGACTTTTCTCAATTATGCACTGGCATTTCCTCGATTATGCTAGTTAGTAGTAACCTAATGTCTCATAAGAAATTTCCATGGCAACTTAAGGAGAGATGCCACAGTAACAACCTACTAATTAATTAATCATAGGTTGTCCACTATTTTGAGCAGTACTACATTTTCACTTCTTTACAAATTTTATTATTCCTCTTAACACATCAAGTTTTTCATTGCATTGATTTCGCCCACTCATGTTGCCCTAGAAATGAAAAAAACTCTCCTATGTGTTTTTTCTCCAATTATAATAGTACTCCAAACAGATATCGTGACATGACCTACCTGCAATCGACTCTATCACAGTAAATGTTGCCTTTCATGAGACATCCTCTTACTACCCACTCACTACAAGTTTATACTGGCCCATCTAATCCGCCTACTTTTTTTTGCGCCTCCTTACAAGCCATCTATTGTGATTGAGGATCCACCTACAACTAAGATCTTATATTACATCTTCTGATTGCTCTCTTAAAGGTACAAGACATTGTACTAATCATTCAATAAATTGCGTACATCCTTCAATCATTAGAAGTAATATTAAACTGAAAATAAAAAGTGGATTAGCAGAAATATTAAACTGTATTAGGAACTTACGTTGTTCCGTAGAGGGCTATCTTTTGAATCTTTGAGATATCATTGCCAGCTTGATTGTCTTCAATGAAAATTGTCAAACTGATAAAAATTCAACAAAATGAGATGGAATTGTGTTATGATTTTGATATAACAAAACTTCAAAAAGTCAGAATAAAATAAAATAGAGAAACATGAAGTGATTTACAGTTCTGCTGACCTACGAACATTCTGAAATTTTACATACTTCACACTAATAGGCTTTGCCTGTAAGAAAAACAAGGATTAAAGAAAAATATATGGAAAAATAAAGAGAACTGAATTAAATGCACAAACTTCTAAAAAAACCAATTTAAACTAAAAAAAATAATCAAAAACCAGAAACAAGTAAAGGTTGGTGTGTGAAAAAAAATCCTACCTTCAAATCATCCTGCGATAGAATAAGTGAGTCACTGGGTGGGTAATCATTGACATTACTGCAAAAAATTGTAAATTGAAGTTAATATCTGGAACAAAATAAGTGAATATTCCCGGACGCATTTTGGGGATTAGCCTAAACCAGGGAGAGTAAACATTACCTAAATCCCATGTTCTCTTTGTTAGCAAAGAGTTTCAGTGTTCTTGGACCTAAAAAAAATAAAGTTTCAGTGTCCCAACTGATTCATAATCATAAAAGTACAAGCTAAACAAATATCGGTTTGAAATGGGTAAATTTTCTGAGGCAAAAATTGAAATAATTTAACCTAAGTAATACGGCAATGAATTGGTTGATTATGTTTTTCAATTGATGAATTTTGCGTATGCAGATTTTAAAATATTTACCTTGCTAGACCTCACAGTTATTGTGCCCACTTCTTGGTTTGCTACCAGAGACCCTCAATAACAATGAACAAAGAAATCGGGTAAATTATGAAACTATTTAGGAAATATACCGAGTGCAAGGCTAGCCCTTTCTTAATCTATTCTGTCATTCCTTTACATCCTAACTAGCACAATAAGATAACTTGCTTAAATAGAACGAGAGGAAGCCCACCAATACCTATGAATTAACATATCAACTATCGAAGCTTCAATTTTTATTCACAGATCACCAGACCTATGCTGAAAACATAAGAATCAGGTCTATACATAAAAATTGAAGTTAGGCGTGTTGACCTCATTTTTTGTGTGGTTTATCTCCCTCTCTAGAGCCTAGGATCTAGCTATAGGATTTCCTACTGACTCTTCTAGATGACTAGTGTTGGAACCCACACCACATAGAAATTCAAACAACTTCTTGACTCAGTTTCATGTGCATGGTCTTGACTCTTCAACCTTTGGATGAATCGATTGAGACCAACGTAATGAAATTCAAACTGAGTTCCTATAGGGATTGAAGAAGCCCCCAAGGAAACCTTTGGACTTGGGAATTTTAATTTTTCTTAAAAATATCACATACACTTACACCACATATATTTACACTACAATTCACATAAAATCCTTTAATCAAAAATCAAAATAAAATTAAAGTCCTCATGACGTGAATTTGAGACCCTCCAGCATGTGTTGAGGGTCACAATGTCGGGATCATTTCACTTGATTTTGGTCATCGCTTAGGCGAAGAACGATCAGCATTTTTCTTGTCTGATAGCTTCAATTGGGCTGACATACCTTATTTGTCGCGTCCCGCACGAGACTAACTCACGTTGGCTTGTGAATTTGTCCGGATTACCCCGGATGACAAAATGGTTCGCACAAGCGGGTCCGGAACGTTGATTTTACTCGATAATGACACCCATATTGATATGGTTCCAAGCATGAGTGAATCGCACGCAAATTGAAGTGTTTAAATGAAATAATAACAATAAAACAGATAAAAAAATTAAAATTCCTTTATAATAGCCCACGGACACCCCTCATCCCACGACATTCCCTAAAACCCTAGCTATGCTCCACACCACACCTGGCCTTCTCCTTCTTCCCTTCCCAAAACTGTGAATCACCCGCTTCCCCTTCTATTACCTCTCTTGGGTCACACCAGGGCAGGCTCCTTTGCAAGAGCTTCCTGCTTCACATCACTTCCCCCTCAGTCGAGCTGAAAATGCTTCCATTCTTCCTTCTCGAGGCCAGCCAAACTCCTCTCCTCCCTCGCACGCCCCCCCAAGGTCGGTCACTTCTTTTTCTCTACTTCCTTCGCCTCCCCATCGCAATAACCCCAACTCCACTTATGGTAACGCTCCCTCGTCTCCACCTTCAATTTAGATAAACATTCATCTTATCTTTACCAGTTCATTTGTAACATTTACTTATCTGTCTTTTTAATGTTTAGCTTCTAAGGTTGGAAGATCAGATGATATGGTTGTTCCTCATAATAATGCTTTTGTATTCATTTATGGGCCTCTGGTATTACCTGATAAACTTCAGTCTTCAGTACTATTGTAAGCAGTCGGGTCCCCGTCACAGCTTTGAAAATTCTTTTAACAAAATATAGATTTTTTGGGAGCGTTGGATCAAATTCCACATTTGCATCGTTGTTGGTTTGGAGTTATGTTTTCTCTTACTTCCTATATGCTTTATGGCATTTACATTAAATTTAACATAGTTCATATGAGTTTGGGGACAGCATTGTGGCGGATTTGTTTTTCTTTCAAAATAATACTTTTGTTTCCATTTCTGAGCCCCTGTTATTACCTGATAAACTTCAATTTTCGGCATTGTTGTAAGCAGTTGGCTTTTTTTCACTGTTTTAGAAATTCTTTTAACAAATATAAATTTTCTGAAAGTTTTGGATTAGATTCAGCATTTGCATACCTGCTATTTTGAGAGTTTTCCAACAAAATATGAATTTTCTGGAAGTATTGGATCATTTATGTTTTTCCTTACTCATATGCTTTTATGGTCATTTAAATTAAATTTAATATATCTCATATGATCTCAGAAACATCGTTGTGAAATACAAAAGCAAAAAGTGAGAACATTCTCATTGAAATGGATACAGATAAACTAAAGAAGTTCATCTTTCTCATGTACAGACCCAAAAAGAAATACATATATATGTTTCATAATACATCAAAGACATCAAAACTAAAATTACATAGTTCATATTTCATAACTCATCCAATGCCTTTATCTCCCCATGGAAACAAGAAACAAGAAACAAATTCTGGAGTAAGAAGATTGCATAAGATATAAAACTGATAAATTGCAAATGATGATAAAATATATTTAGATAGGAAAAGACCATCACTCAGTTTTAAAAATCAGCAATTTGTGTCTTCTCATGTTATCAACAATTTGTGCCTTCTATGACCCAAAACTTTCATTCTTCCAGCAACACTTTGCCCCGAATACAAGTACAGTTCTTTCATTGATCTTTTTAAATTCAGCCCCAAGTTCTCTATAACAATCTTTACGCAGTTCAAAGGAAGGAACATTTATCCGCACAACTACACTCAAAATTATGCAAATTTTTCAAGCAATCCTCTGTCTCTATCTTGATGCCTTTTTTCCCAATACAACATCTTATAATCTAGAGTATGATAAAACAATCAATCATAAATCCAAATCCATTGACTAAACAAAAGTCATTACCAATACCCAATTCATTGTCTACTGCGACAACGATCCTTTTCAAGAAATCTCAAAGAAGGCAGGCTGAGGACAGTGCTGTAACACCTAACTTGAAATAAAAAAGGTACCTTTACATACACACCACCCAATCCCAAGTATTTACATGTCTAACTCCTCAACTTTAACTTTTACATACAAATCATCATAAAATTTAATATTTGCATGCTTACCATTATGAGCATTCATATATAAATTTCTATTATCTTTTGTTGAACAGAACACTCATATCAACTTTTTTGTGCGCCTTCGTGAGGTAAATCCTTTTGTTATTGCTTCGTGCGTAAGGTTGCTTAAGAAGCTATTTGTCCACCTCCTGAATGGCACACTTCATGACGACCCTTACTCGAGAATTCTTTTCGGCTTAAGTGTGCAACCGATAAAGTTCTACTAGCTTCTTCCAACAACCTTACGTAATATTTTTTTTATTCTTTCAATTATGTTTCAAAGTTAATATATACAAACTATTTGTTATGGAATCATATATTATGCTTTGTCAAAAAAAGAGATTATTTGAAATAGCATCAAGAGCGGTAGGTACGTTCTACTACTTTCTTGTTTACTACACTTAATTATATATGTTTTGTTTAGACATATAATAATGTTATTCCTCTTCGGGCCTGCTGCATTTCTAGCATGTGAAAAGGAAGTCCTAGGATACAAAACGTAGGACATATGTTTAGGTTAAGACCCTACAACAAAAATCATTAATTAAAATGAATATATATATATATAATAATAATAATAAATAACATAACAATAATTCACCCTTTGGATTTATGAGTACTCTTAGATGAGATAACACATGGTTGCTAACAAGAGTTTTTTGATCTAAAGAAGTTTAAAAGTTTTTTTAGACTAAGTAACTTAAAAATTAACAGCAGTGTCGAGATGACGGAACTAAGAGGTCTTGACCGGCGCTGCTTAACATAAGTCAAATCCCCTCTTTTAATCACTTTAATAATATTAATTATCAAATCAAAATACACTTCTTATGATCACAATAAAGAACCAAAAACAATCTATGATAGGCCTCCTGAGGCACGATTTTCTCTCCTTTTCATAAAACTAGGTGGTGATACGACCAAGCGGCTGTCAACCTTTGAGGAGATCGAGAAAATACAAAACATGAAGCGAATGATGAACCTCAACTGAATTTTTCATAGTCTTAATCAACATGAACCCTTGGGATTTTGAGGTTGTTCGTCTAGTACAATGTAAATCCTCACACAATCACTTAGGTTTTCTCATGATTGTATGTCGTGCGATATAAGTCTTAGCTCTTTTTAGGATCTTAAAGTCGTTCGGTACAATGTAAACTCTCTCACCTAAATTTTGAATAAATTGCAAAAAATAAAATATTAAATGATATCGCTTTCAAAATGTAAAGTCAAACCATGGGATAGTTTGAGAAGTCACGAAGATTTTCTCAGTATCTGTGATATCCCCTACATTTCGCTCCTTTAGATTCCAGAAACAAATGTTACATATTGAACATTTCCCAACTGATTTCCTATGAATAATTGTGAAAACTGAACTTTAAATCTTGAAGGCAAAACCTCATTCTTAATCTAGAGTTTTCTTACGTAATTTTGATTGTTTAAGATGTAATTAACTATAGAGAATTGCGTCTATAGAATAATTAGTAACTCAGATAATCTAAGCTTTGTCTAATCTTCAAATTAGGTAGGGAAGACCAAATAAATAGCATATATTTCCTATTTTGAATAATTAAAACTATTATCAAATCATATTCTCATCTTTCGAGATGAATCATTACTCGTAATATTGTACTTACTTATTTAAACCATTGAAAATATGAGAGTTCTCCAATCCCATTTTTCAAAATTAAAACTTTTCTTTTTTCAAAATCAAAATTATATATGTATTAAACTAAATTAATTTCAAAGCAAAAAAAAAAAAAAACACCAACAGGGTGGTTGATATGCTAACATTGAATCAAATGCCATATTGGTCCATTAGCCGATGTTGCCAGCTGACAGCTTCAGCGAGACAAAGGTTTCATGAAAGAAAACGTTTATAAAGAACAATCTGCATTCCTAAATACTAACTAACTATGCATTTAAAGGAGTTTTTTTAAACGGACCTTGGACTTGCCATTCTTTGCAGCTAAAGGGAAAGTTGGTCCACAAATAATCTACAAGCTCACATCACCACTAAAAATGAAATAGGTATAGGGTACAAACATTACCTTCCTCTTCCGGGCCCTTGATCACAACCGAGTGTAGTTTAACCACCTGGGTAAAGGGAATATAGATGAGAAGTTGCTCATCCGCGTCACTCTCAAGATGCAGCCCATCGTCATCCCGATAACCCTATGACCCATAAAACCGGCGCCATGATCTTCTCAAATTTGAAAAAGACAACTAGGAAATAGCAAGGTTAATGGTTGGGATTCGAAAGATTACCTGTTTAAGGGCGTTATCAATATTGTGGGCGGAGCTCTGGTTGAGACATTCGACTCCCCTCCAATCGACGAAATCTACGAGATCGACCTAAGGGGCATGTGTTAAGAAATGGTGTTGCGTGAGAGGAGAGAGAGAAGATCGATGGATAAGATGCCGACCTGGCTTCGATTGATCCCGGAGGCCATGGGGGCGGGGGCGGGGGCGGCGGCGGCGGAGAGGAGAAAGAAAGAAGCGTCGGAGCGACAGAAAACGGTAAATCCTCGCGTATGGGTATCTGAGCGGGTCTGGTCACGCGAGAACACTAGGAGACCCTATGCCGGTCGATTTACAGAAAGCGATGGAGAAATTTTAGAGAGTCCATACATAAAAAATGGAAAAATTATTTCATGCGACTGATTACGCTGTCTGATCATTTAAAAAAAAAATTAAAAAATAAAAAATTGTGATCGGCGGCCGAGATCGGACAGCACATCACGGGTACTTCGCATTCCTAGAACATAATTCTAAGGTATTTACATATGTCACCTTTAAACTTTTGTATTAACATTTTTACATATCGTATATTGATCCATTAAACCTATGTGGGAAAAGATGTATTTCATTTTTAAATGGTAATAATGATATTATTTTTATGTGATATTTAAAAAATTGAGTGTTATATGTGTAAATATGAAAGCTTGGGTGTGGGACATGTAAATAGATTAGAATTGTGTCCTATGCATGAAAAAATCCAAAATTTTCATTTTTACCCAAGCACTCAAATCCTTAATATCATATCAAAAGAATACTATTAATGTTTTTTAAAGTGAAATACATATTTTCATGCATAAATTAGAAGCACAAAAATATTATGTATGTAAATACAAGAAATTAGACAGGAAATATGTAAATATATAAGAATTGTGTACTAGGAATGTAAAATTCCTTAATGTTGTTTTTTTAAAGATCATTTGAGCTCAAACTTTATTACAATTGTCCACGGCATCTCGAAATGGAAAAAGTAATATGAAGCTCAGATATAATATTTTAATATGATTGTGATACTAGCATCTCATAATATACCCTTATTTGTAGCACTCGTTACCTCATATGACATGACTATATGATTGGATTTGTGTCATATTATGATGTTATTGTGAGAGTGAACGTGTCAGCATCTAATACTACCAAGTATATTATAGTATCAACAACAAGATATTTTGAAAAGTAGTGAAATGTGCATGTATGGTTGTGTATAGTATACTTATTATTCTCACTTCAAGTCATGTTGAATGATGGCCATTGTAGATAGAAAGGAACACTATTCGGGCCAAAAAAAACTGTGTGATGATAATGTGCTCCAGTATGTAGCTCAAGAAGGGCTTGTGTAAGCATATGTTAAATTTCCTGAGCTATATGGGGAGAGACCGATGCAGCAACATCATGCACTCTATGGTGGCCACCACATTTAGGAGTTGTAATGTACAAGCTTGGATATATTTCACAGCATATATCCTCAATACAATTTACTTTGTGATTCAAAAGCAATCCTCAACTCTATAAAAAAATGGCTTAATATCTTCTTAGACTCCAAAAAATATGTGGCCTAGAAAACTAATATATAACGTAGTACACAAGCAATTTTTAATTGATGAAGAAGTAAAATTACAAAAATATACCATAATTCTATTTCCCGAGACTCTAGGGCAATAGGTCATTGGTGTCCTTATTGGTCCCTTTAGTAAATATAAGGAAACAAATGCAAGTAATATTTCAGTCATATATCATCATCGTTGTGATGTTAATCAACTTAGATAAGAAGTGCATGTTTGTTGTACCACAATTCAATAAATGTATGATAAAAATCAACACAATTAAAGCCAATCATCCCCCTTCCAATCTAATGTCCTAAATTTGGTTTCATCGGCTCCATTTCAATACATTTGTACCATAACACCAAAATGTTATATTATATGATTTGGTATATGTCATTTTACTCATCGCTAGTAGAAAATATGAGGGGGGCTTGCGAGTTATGTATCTCATGAGTGTAAAATTCAATAACCGAAAGAATGATTTTTAAATTGTAAAGCCTTTAGATAATCTATACATCATTTAATTAGTTGTAATATAAATACTTTTTTAAAAATATAGTACATAAATTAATAGCTTAAGAAAAAATAGATATGATTTTAAATCAAATCATCAATTTTATCTATGTAAATCTTTAACATTATAAATCACATCTCTCTTATCATATTCTCATTCCACCTACAAAAGCAGATAGGATTAATTTAAATTATAGAAATGATAGATAATAGCATGTTATGATTATATTGATATATGTGTTTGAGTCCTTACCTTCGAACTATTTAGGGTAAGCTATACATAGCCTAAGATTACAAACATGAATATGCTCCCAAATTCAAAATTATAAAAAAAGAAAGCAGCTTGTTGTGTATGCATGAGAGTGCTTAACGGGATTCTTCAACTCTATACAATAGATACTGCAAATGCACCTCACAATCAAGCTTATCAGATGTCAAGGCAGTGGCTAATATAAAGAAAATACATGCATGAACATCTTTTAAAAAGTTAATGTCATACTAATCAAAATATGACTATCCCTATAAAATATCTATTTAAGTTGCTAAAGTGGCAAGCATATGTGCTTATAAGCATGATCCTTCTTTAAGATAAATGTAATATCTAGATCTAGGTGATAGTAAAGAACTTCTGACTATGGATGACTAATAAGAAGATCGACACAATATTTCCTTCATGAAAGCCACATGCTTAATCCAACGTCCTTATTGCGACCAATTAATACAAAATCATCAACCAATACCCCTAAAATAAGGTTGACATCCTATATTACAATAGTTATCTTTTCTACTAATAGCTGGAAGGTTTTGGTTTTAGCTGACCAACGATCCTCTAATGATGCCAATAGATGGTTGTTTAATATATTGCATTATAGATGTATGATATCCCAATCCTTCAAACATATGTGGGCTTGTGGCTGGCTACTTTTTGAACATCTATAAGTGTAAAACTACTTCTAAAATATTGCTTCAGTAAAAACACATAGAATAGTGCTTTTTTTTTTTTTTTTTTTTTTTTTTTTTTTTGACGAGTCGTTAGTTTGTCTATAATCATATACTTTTTTTTTTTTTGTTTGAATAAGTCCTCTTCTCAATCCTAGGAATGATAATTTTCTATTCATATTTTGAATTGATTGTACACATAAGAAATAATTTTAGAGTTTAGCATTCTTGTGATAAATCTCGCAAAATTTCTATTCATATGTTGCATGCTGGTAAATTTGTGGATGTAGTGTTGTACAAAAATTTGGGATACACACAGACTAAAAAAAACTGAGAAATAACAAAATGAGTTTTTTACATGAAAAACTCAAAAGGATAAAGGTCACAAGACTTGTGACCTAGCCTTGTTGAAATAATTCAAGTATGTTGTCATAAGTTACAAGACTTTGTCAACTCTTGGATAGTTGAAAGCAAAATTAAATAAATGGGAGTTATCAACACAACTTCCTATAGGGGAGTAGTGGAGTACGTTTGGGAAGTGGCAGTGAGCTGGCCACTATTATAGAAGGCTAACGGTATATGTTGTGTGTAAAAAAAATTGATATTAGCATAATCGGTAGCGATGACTGGGCAACGGGGGTCCAGTGATTCATACATGTGCAATAATTCGTGTGATTCAATATGATATTTTAAGAACATATCAAATAGTACCTATATAAGTGCCACTAACAATAGTAATAAATACTTTTGGTCTTACATATAAATAAAAAAACCCTAATAATAATCCAAATTTCAAGAAAATAAACAAAAAATTGTCTCTTTCGTTTATTATCTATTCATATATGAAAACTCTGAATCAATAGCCATAAGCTCGAACCCTCGTAAGCTAAGAACCTAATCTCACCCTCCTCAATTCCTAGCCAATGACTCAGGCTCCAACGATCCCCTTCTCCCTCAAAACCATGGCGGCGGCGACAATCTCCATCCTACCTTCACCAACCACATCCCATCTCATTCGCCGCCGCCGTTCTATTCGCTGCTTCTCGTCCCCCACTCCGATCCCGCCGGCGACCATACTATCGCAGGATGATCTTAAGAAGCTTTCGGCGGTGAAGGCGGTCGAATACGTTAGAAGCGGCATGGTGGTCGGCCTCGGCACGGGCTCCACTGCGGCCTTCGTCGTCTCCGAGATCGGCGCCCTTTTGTCTGCCGGGAAACTCAGTGGCATCATCGGCGTTCCAACTTCTAAGCGCACATTTGAGCAGGCGATCTCGTTGGGCATCCCGTTGTCTAGCCTCGATGGGCACCCACGGTTGGATCTCGCCATAGATGGGGCCGATGAGGTCAGTTGTGGGTATCTATGCCATTGATCGTTTTAGAAGCCATTTGGATTTTCTTCTTCTTTTTTTTTGGATTATGCTTTTCTGGTTAGTTAATTGATTGAATTAAAGATGAATATGATTGAAATTTGGATCTGTTTTTGTTGGATTATGCTATTCAAATTTCCATGTAATGACTTGCATGCTGTGATATTTTTGAAGGTTTCGAGGTAATAATTTTCATTTGTTTAAGTGTTTATAGTTATTAAATGTTTTTTTGACATGCACAAATAGTTTCCTTGGAAGTATTTTTTGTAAGTCTTATTGATCTGTTTTGGTTAGTAATTAGTTAGCCAAAAGTTAATCTTTTGGATTTTTTATACCGCTGGCAGTAAACCAACCAACCCATAAAGTCTAATGTTTCATGTATTCATCTCTATTTGGCTCTGCATGTAGAAATTATGGCCTATTTGAGGTAACTTTTTAACTACTTTGTTTTTCAAACAAATGCCATTGTCTTATTTGGCTACACATATTTCTTTCTATTTTTTAAAATTTATGTGATAAAAAATATTTAATAATAAATCTAGATGATGTAATAGTTTTAAGAAGTCATAATACTTTTAACTGATTTAACAAAAATCTACTCTAGTAACTGTTATATGCTACCTTTTATAGTGTTGAATTCTGATTTGTCCATGAATCATACTCTAAGGGTTAGAGCGTGAAAAAAAAGGGAGAGAGGTGGACAAAGAAATGAATAGTTATAAATAAATAAGAAATAATCTTAGCCTTTTTATTATAAAATGATTTCATTATTTATGAGGGAGAATATGACATTTGATTTTACATTTATGCTCTTACTTTAATGGGACCGTTACAGGTTCTTCTAGGTAATTTACATATACGAGTATATTGTTCGGTTGCTCTATGACTCGGTTGGTAGGGCCAGCATGATTTCAGCTTGGTAAGGTCGATTAGATCAACTGGGCTGAATTGGCTTAGGCAATCGACTGAATTTGGATTGGCTACGGGTCGGTATGACTGACTTGGTTGGCTATGCTTTTTCAATCAGTTAATCTAGTTTAGCTATTGACCCTCGATCCCTGGATAAGAGGCTCCTGTTGGCTAAACGACCCAAGTTATTGCACAGATGATAAATCATCGTAGCACAATAAATAGTCATTCCTTCACAAGGAAGTTCTTCGGGGTGAATATGAGGTTCTATCGTATTGTCAATTCTCAATCCCTAATGAGGAACATCGGGTGATCCATGGTATGGATAATGATGGCAATGAAATGAATTATTTTCATAGGTCAGGTTTACCGAGAGGTAGGTCGATTCCTTCGCTCGATTTTCTAATGATAATTGATTTGAGTATTTATTTGTCTTGCTTTAGTCTAATTGGTTTTGCATCGGATCATTCTTTTTGTCCTTCTGACTCAATTAGTTTCGTCCTTAATTTGGATGACTGCATCTAATTGAATACGTAGGTCTCTTAGTTTCTTGTCGGTGGGCCCTGATTTATTATACTTTCTCCCTTCTTCATAGTTGGATCTTCTTAGGAACAATGCTAACACATTTTTGATGTACCAATATATAGTTCTTTTGAAAATAACTATAATATTGTTGTATTGTTGCACTATTTTTTTTAAAATTATAAACTTTTATTGTACTGTCAGCATGGCCAAAACCACTTCTAATATCAAGATTTTAAAAGATGGGTGGCAAAACAAAATACTCACTAAAATAAATCAAGATAGAAGCACAACTTCTTGAACTAACATAAATGGATAACAAAGAATGTACACACAAAAATGTAAGAAAATTCCAAAGAAAATTATGGTTAACATCTCAAATTACATCAAGATAATGAACCATCTATGCTAAAAAATACATCAGTTGCAGACCTATCTTGACCAGTTTCATTGCTGAAGAAGCACATTCAATTGCTGTGAATTAGATATTGTTATGCTGTTAGAATCAGTCAATTAACATCTTCATATATGATTTAATTTCTCTGATTTTAGTACTATTACAACCGGAAATATTTGGGCCACATCAGATAGAGCATAGATTTCTATATGACTTTACTCTGCTGGACCCACATTATCCTATGCTTTATCCTCATTATTCTATAATGACATTAGAGCCAACTGATCTAGTGTGTGTGATAAGCATTTTGGGATACTAAGCAAAATAAACATTTTTATTTTCATTTTTCTGTTTCAGTATCAGTTAAGGACAAATTGAACAGTATAGCATTCTTGTGATAAATCTCACAAAATTTGTATATATTCTTGTGTTAGCCTCATTTTTGTTATTTAAAACTAGGACAGGTGGATCCAGATCTTAACCTTGTTAAGGGACGAGGCGGAGCTCTTCTTCGCGAGAAGATGGTCGAAGCTGCGTCCGACAAGTTCGTCGTCGTCGTAGATGAGACGAAACTCGTGACCGGATTGGGCGGCAGTGGGTTGGCGATGCCGGTGGAAGTGGTGCAGTTCTGCTGGAAATATAATCTGATTAGGCTGCAGGAATTGTTCCAGGAAGAAGGATGTGAGGCGAAGCTTAGATTGGATCCTGATGGGAAACCTTATGTCACTGACAATGCGAACTATATCATAGATTTGTACTTTAAAACACCGATTGTCGATGCAGCGGCTGCAGGAAAGGAGATTTCAGGATTGGAAGGAGTGGTTGAACATGGTTTGTTTTTAGACATGGCTACTGCTGTTATTATTGCTGGAAAAGAAGGGGTTAGCGTCAAAGCAAAGTGAGTAGTTATTTACTCTGGAATGTTAAGAGAGAAAAAAAAATATTTAAATCATGCTGCTGTGCTTTCCTTGTTGTGATTATTCTCTAAAGATGTATTTTATTGTGTTATATGTGACTTATTTTGATTTTATTTATAGTTGAGTAAATGCTTTATGAAAATGAAGGGTGGATTTGGTTTTCTAAGATTGATTAACAAACAAAGTGTAATGCTGTATCCGAATAAAATTTGCTTTTTATTTTTTGCTTTTGCATTATTTTGTTTATATTATTACTTGAACATTCCTCGTTATCTTTGGGGTATTATTACATGGCTAGTTGGTTTTCAAAACATTTAGAATAATTTTCAAGTATTTTGAGTCTTTTAAAATATAAATCAATTTATTTTTAAAAAATAAAAGTATGCGGGAAAAAAAAAGTTGAAGAAGGATGATGTTTTTAAAATAAAAATAAAAATAAAAAACATCCCAAACAAAGCCCTTGGTTTATTAATGATATTTTATTTTTTTATTGTGTGCTTTAAAAATTATCTTTGTAATTAGATGTGTATTCTTTTGATGAGAAATTTTATAAAATAATTAGATATATAGATGAGAATATTTTATTTTTTTTATTTAAGTTTCAACAATTAAACTCATCAGCCAACATAAATAATATATTGTGAATCATATCAAGTTTGATTAAATTCAGGAAATCCAAATTATAAGACTATATTTTTAATCATTAATATCAATCATATAATTAGTTTAAGCTCAATAATAGCTCAAACATAATAAAAATTAATAAATAAACTAATCTGCTATTTATATTACCATCTATGAGTAACTAGAGAGAAGAAAATTAAAGAGAGGAAAAGGGGATGGATATCCCATTCTCTCCCCTCCATTTCTATCCAGTCACTCTCTAATTGCACATCAAAGATTCCTATGTCGTGTGTAATATTATCTAACGATTTTTTATCTTTTTTAACGAGCCATGGAGGAAGTTTGAGAGATTGTGCAGAAAACGCGCTTGCCTGATGATCCCATGCTTGCTCTCCCAACAAAATCGCTAACATCAAATTTTTGAAAGCAAAGCCTGAGCCGCAGAGCGGGAGCATTATAACCTTGCTGAAATTATCATCCTCCGAGCTGCAATTACCTGAAAAATTAGTTATGAGAAAAATAGAAATTTTATAAGTTATGATGGACATACTCTCGCCATATAAAGTTCTAGAAAATAGTAAATAATTCATAATCAAACAAAAATATAATGCTATATCTATCAAAACTCACCTTTAATCTGGCAACATTTCAACGTCCCTTGAAAGACATAAAACTGTTTGTGCTCTCATAAGTCCTTTCTGCAGCTAATTCTTTACTATTCGCACAGCCGAGTTTCAAAATTTACACAACAGCTGTTTTGATCATAGGATAAGACTAACAGTTACTGCTATCATTTTGATCCCCAGAACTAAAGAAACTGCTTGCAATTATACGAATACATATAATCAAACTGCTGCTCCCCAGAATAACATTTTGGCAGAAGAAAAACTATAGTTCCCCAAATATTATAAAAATCATTAGTTTCCTCATTAAAACACATTACTATATCAAAGGAAAATAATAAACGCACGGATTGTTAGAATTTACTACCATTAATAACTGGAAGTCATGCAAGTTCAAGCTCTTCCAGTTTAGTGCAAATAAGAAGATGCAGGCCATCAAAGAGTAGTTTAGAAGCTGTGAACTACGCTTAACCGATCTAAAATGGAGCAAGACTTTTGTACAATAAAGGAAGAACATCACAGCGCGCACTAGAATATGCTAAACTAAACCATAGCAGCTGGTTCCAAGTTCCAACCTACAAGGGCTACAATTACAAAACCTATTCATCAGCCTCACAACAAAAACTTGAGGGAAAAATATTCTTTTAAAGCCCTACAGAGTAGTTTCATTGTGCTGTCTCCTTGAAGCTCTTGGTTAACCATATAGCTGTCTCCCTCGGCGAAGCCTTTCCAGGGCCAAAAGGCTTCAAGAGTATGCCCAGCTCTTCAATCCTCTCCTGCTGCAGCAGCTGCGCACTGAACTCCAGCAAACCCTCTAAAGCCTCCGCCCTTTGTTGGTAAGAGGATGTGTCGAACCGCCGTTGACGGGACTCCGATGATCCCCGGCTTGACGCATCCACAGCAGCGGGATTTCTTTCCCATGATTCGTTCAAAAGATCTCCATCAGTTCGAAAGATTTGGACGGTGCATTTATCCTTGGTGATCGAGCGGTCTCCACAGAGTGGGGTGGAAGAGCCATGGACATTTGAAATCTTGTGGAGAGAGAGCAGAGGATCTTCGGATGAAGCGAGTGGGAATTCGGCAATCCTGTCTATCCGAGGTGCGTTGACCGAAACATCTGGAGATTGCACTCTTTGAAGTATATTAGCAGTGCGTATGTGAGGTGTTTCAAATGAAGGCAATGGCAGAGATGCCCTCCTACTGAATCTGCTTGTTCTATCTGCCGGCGTCCTCATGTAAGCCTGTGCACAAGGTCAAATGGGGTAATTAAAAATCTTCAGTCTGTCTTTAGGGAAATTTACATACGTAGCACACAATTCTCATGTATATACATACCTCACACCAAAATTTTCATATTTACATACACAACACTTTGGTGTCTTAGACTTATGGATGAAAATTCTGTATTTCACTTTTAAAAAGTCACAATAATGCTATTTTTTATGTGATATTAAAGATTTGAGTGCTATGTGTGTAAATATGAAAGTTTAAATATGAAATATGTAAATACATAAAAGCTAAGTATATAAAATGTCCCTTTCCTAAATCAAGATAATTGGAACAGCTAGATGCCAATTATCTAACAGTATGAGGGGAATTTAAACATGAAAAAGGTTAACTTTTTTATTATGTTCACTGGATATTAAGCAAACTGAATGACTTTGTTATAGATTTTGCTAAGGAGAAAACAAAAGTTACCATTTCTCGGTTTGATACACTGTGTATGATTTTTGCCGGTTCCTCTTGCTTTCTAGGAGTAATAAAAACTTTGCCAGGAGTATACTTAGGCGTCTTAGAAATACTTGGCTTATTGTTGTTTGTTCTACCACGACGCAACTGGCCCATGTGACTGCTGCCAACTGAGTAGTCCTTAATCTTTGGTTTCAAATAGTCTGCATGATCTTTAATGCTTTTTGTTGAGTTTATGGAATCCTGCTCAGCCGTGGTTTGGTTTGGTATCACAATCCTTTCATTTCCATAGGATTGTCTTTTATCTTTTTCCTTGGAAACAAAATCATCTTCATCATCAGAAAATCTAATTTTCTTTATGAGATTGCTTGTCGTGTGGCGCATGGGAAGAGAGTTGCGATTTGGACTGGTTTTCAAATGTACTTGGAGCACATAAGCCTGAAGATGAGGATGTTTGAGCAGTTCTGCAGCCTGGAAAATTGTATTTCACACAAGTAAAAAATCATTATTTCTACTTTTAAGCATGCTATAACGTAACAACACAAGTACTTACACTTGGCCTATGTTCTGGGCTTTTCCTTAGCATGCTTTTAATAAGCCCTCTACTGAACAAAGGAATAACAAAATATTAGACAGGCCATCTCCTCAAAGAGCCTAGTCTATAAACATGAAAAATGAGTACAGGATTAGCTCTTACAATGGACCAGAATATGAGCTCGGAAGAGGAGCTATAATCGACTTATTTATTTTGTTTATCAGGCCTTGCATATCCTGCATTTCAGCGACAGTAAGAATGCTAGAAATTTACGAGTTTCTTTGTCAATTTGAGCATGCAAAGCAAGTATGATGAACCTTAACGAGTTAAATTGGCAGATATATGCATACAAAGAGTGATATAATGGCTCAGAAATGTATTAAAAAAACATGAGAATGGTTCAGAAATGGATGACTCCTATAATGACTTCATATAATTGAAAGTTCTATGTAGTACTCAATGATGTTGAAAAGTGTTATTTCAAAGAATGATCATCAATGCAAAGAGCATTCAAGTGACGAGATTCGTTGAAATAAGCGAAAGTAGTATGATGTCCCGGATAGGATAGATGAACAACATATGAGTGCAGATTTCCTAGCGGTTGTACTCACCCGGAGCTTAAATTTTTCAGCAAAAAAATGAGTTTGATAATTGAAACTTAAGCCAAATTTTGTTCTGTTCACACTGCACATCAATTATATTCTAAAAATACTCTCACAAAAAAATTTTATGTGCCATTTATGATATGCAGTTTACTGTACAATGATCAAAGGTTAAGAAAATAATAGTTCTATTACTTGCTCTGAAAATTAATATGAGATGTTTCAACTTACAAAAGCTTTGAAAGCAGGCTTTAGAGCAGTCATTTCATATATGCAACATCCTGGAGAATTATAAAATGAAATATAAAAGATTAAGTGCCCTTAATATTTTAATGTAGTCAGGCACAGCATATAAAGATTACCTAAAGACCATATATCAGACTTGCAACCATAAGGTATATCTGCGAGAAGCTCTGGACACATATAGCTGGGAGTTCCAACAACCTGCAATATCAGTAAAACAGGGGTAGCAAAATGCACTTAGGAAAAAAAAAAAAGTGGAAAGAAATTAAAATTATAAAAAAATTTAGGACGGTGCTCACTGAGGATGCTAGATCATCTGAACTCATCATTTTAGCAAGGCCAAAGTCACCTGCAGTGTGCAGCAAATATGATAACATAAAACATTTAAGTTATTTAACAATTTCAAAAATTAGATTCAATTAACAACTTACCTAGCCGAATGCTTTGATCTTTTGCCAGGAAAATATTAGAACACTGGATCAATTACAAAATATTAGCATAAATTTTCAGTACTTACATCAAAGTCTCAAACTAGTGTTCATTTATCCATTACCCACCTTGACGTCACGGTGAAGAATATGGTTCGCATGCAAGTAATCAAGAGCCATAAGTAACTGCACAAGCCACTTACAGAGCTTCTGCAGAATAATATAAAAGAAAACTTAGAAGAACAAAAGCATATGCAGTATACTCTGCAAAGAACATCCAGTGATTTTTAAAAATAATTTTAATTTTGTTCTCAAATTAAACAACCTCTTCAGGGAAAAGGTGTCCATTTGCCTTTTTGATAGCTTCAGCCCTGCCAATACAAGATTAAAAATAGACAGCCTCAGAACATTAACAAAGATTCAGTTTTACTCTACATGTCAGGCCAGTAAAGACTTACATGTCGCCACCTTCACAATAACCTATGATAATACAAACATAACAGCCCTGGATAAAACAAATACACAAATTACTTTTATCATAAATGAAATGAAAATGGAGAAGAATCTCATAAGAAAATCCCTTGACTTGGTCCTGAAAATAAGCTGCAGAATAATCTTAGGGGCAGTTCGAGATCACTTAAGTTTTTTTTGTTTGTTCTGTTCATGCTTCCATTAGAAACAAAACACGTTGGGCAATTTGATTAAAGTATGACTATTTTTAAAAAATTCAAAATAAAAACAACTAAAAGTTGTTCGGAGTGTTTTCAAAAACATGTTTTTTTTTT